CTACGTTTTTATTTTTCTTGTCCAACACGTTTTCTGCAACATCCAATTCGTTTCCATCAACCGGCGTCTCGTGAGGGGTTGATCTGGGTGCAAATTAGTTAGTTAAACAAGTAGCAGGTAGTGGAGGTAAATTCTGCCGTATGCGCCGAAAAGGGGGGAAAAGTACCCCACGTCTGTACAGGCGTAACGTCGTGCCTAAGTGTTCGTTTCCCGTAGTTGTTTTTTTGTGACTCAGAATATGATCCACACCAGTCACTAAGTCATCAAACTAGTTCGTTTGGGAGGTTTCAAGGCCAGAGAGCACGCAGGCCCCCCAAGACGGGGTAGATGACGTCCCTCAAAATTTAGCCGCAAAACAGGGGATATGAGCATTTTGTCCCCGGGTGTGCACCGATTTTTTTTTTCTCGATTGTATCGAACATGCGTCATAGTAAGAGCGTATGTGCCAAATTTCGGGTCTTGAAACGCATTACAACCTGCGCAATGGACCCCTACCCGAAAGGTGTCCGCAACACCCCCCCGGCCGTTTTCCCCCGAAATGTCACGTGGAAAATAAGTACACTTCGCAGGCTATCTAAATCCTCGCCATTTCAATTTTTTTTTCAATTTGTCTTTTTATCTTGAAGTCTATGTAATTCTCTATCATCCGATACCTCCACCTTATCGTGAATCATCGTGACCCCAGAGAACGAGCCGCCGAAGTCGGGGGAGTCTTCGTGTGTCCTTAATACCCGCCCTTACTCTGTCTACATCCACCGATCGAGGAACGTGGAGAGTAAGAAGCAGAGCGAAGTGTTCCATTGGAAAGTAGAGCGTTTGGGAGACGAGCAGACGTGTGGTGAAGAAGGGACCGACTGGTGTAGAACGATTCAGGAAATAGTAGCTGAGAAGCCGGAAAAGTAGGCCTACAAGTAGCAGGGTGGGAAACTCGCCCTTTGTGCGTACTGAAGAAGGTGCTGATGGTGGCGAGTTTGTTGTCAATCCCGAAATTCAGTCGTCGTTTGCCGTTATCGTGCAGCCATCAAGTCCATGAGGGACAACGACTCCCCCCTCCGCTAGCTAGATCACACTCTCATCCGCGTTCGTGCGTTAGAATCCACCATCACATACGCATGCCGGGATCAGCTGCGTGAAGCTATCGAGCTCATCCTCGAGCTTCTGTTGATCGCCATCCTCTGTGACCTCTGTCGGTGCGTAGGCAGTTTGGAAGTTCACCGCTCCGCTCTTCTCGGTCGGTCATAACAGAACACCCTGCACCCTGCTCCTGCATGCTCCGTTTGCCCAGGCCTTCTCGCCTCCTGCATTCCCGCCACAGCGATGATACCTTGTTGTCCCACTTTGTAGAGCACGCTGTAGGCTCGGCCGTGTTGGGAAACTCGTGGGTTCTGGGGGGAATATGTTGTGTCAAGACCTTGTTCCAGAGAGACGTAACCCGTTGGCTTCCTTTTTCAGCCAACGTCCGAACATCGTAGGTAACCGGTGTCAGTTTTACTCCGCTGTCTCGCCCGTTCCTCACGCCAGCAAGCCTAAGCTCAGCCCGGCCCCGTCTCCTCCGTTTAGAGTCTCCCGCACTTTCTTTAGTGGGCAGTTCAACCTATAGTCTAGTCTAGACTGCTGCTGTAGGTTGAACTGCCCACGATGTGGGCACTTCCTGGGCACGTCATGGGCCGCCCATGGGCGCCCTACGGGTGTCCCATGGGCGGTCTAGCAAAACTGCCAGCATGGTAGATTGTCTTCCTGTGCTGGTATGTAGACTATTAGACTACTGTGTATGGTAGACTAGACTACTGCTGTGCTTTATTTTGTTTGGTGAGTCTTAATGTATGCCGTTGGCATTTTCTGGCTACTGCTGTATGAAGGTTGGTCCTCTTTCGCATGCATGCGACCCTCCTGATCTGCCCCACTCTTCTCCTTCCTCGCTTCACCCATGCATACTCACGAGATACTTGTACAGCTCCACCTATTTCCATCCGGGCTCCCCCCACTGCCTTTTCCGCTGCTGCTCAACCCCCGGGGGCAATCAAAGGTGCCATTTCATTGGCCATCCATGCTGCTGCCCAAACAAGTCGGTCCGACGAGAGATGGCCCGATCTCGGGACCGCGTAAACTCTCCAATCCTCCAGTTCAGGACTACTTAACCTTCGTACTGTACCTTCTCTACGAGGCTTGACCTCGTGTCTCCGCGGTAGCGTGGTTCTAAGCCCACTGGCGGACCTCGGGCCACCCTCAGCAAAGTCAGACCACATGTTAGCAACGTGCGGACAGAAGACTTGATGGGTCACGATAACACACATGCACCCACCTTCCAGCTCCGCAGCCCCGACATCGACATAAATATGCCATCTTTGACCAAGCCACAATACGAACTGGCAGGTACCATTTTAAATATATCACAAAATTCATGCGTAACACTACATAGAATTCGAACCTACGACCCACGATTTAGAAGACCTATGCCCTATCCGCGTTCGAGATGGAGGACTGACTGCAGCAGCAGCCAACAAGCCATACGTTTGTGTTGACTGAATCAACGAATTGAAAACCGAAGCGTTGTTTGTACGGGTACCAAGTTGACACCAGATGTATTCCACGTCTCTCCGGCCGATTTCCGAAGATCAACTACTGTACAAAGCAGAGACAACAGCGACGCTGCAACAGGCGACGTTGCAACCGCCTCGTCAGTATACAGCAGTGGGCCCTATATAGTGCAGGGGTCTGTCGTGAGAATTTACCTGCACTATAGCAGGCACCTGCACTACTGAAAAGGGTGCCCTCGATAGTGCAGGTTCTGCACTATTGGGGCTTTGAATATTCCTCAATAGTGCAGGTTCTGCACTATTGAGGCGCTCTTCGACTTCACGTTGTGAGTGTGGCGTCCGCGCTTTGCGGGGCCAACAGAGTACGAAATGGATCGAGATTGTGGATTAATAGTGGACGAAGCTAACTCTCAGTCCTCGTTGCCTGCCTTCCCTCGATGTTGGTGATAGAAAAAGACTTGCGCGTATAAAAAAAATACGACAGAAAGCCCACTCCAAAAACACGAGCAACCATGTACTGCTGCCCCCTGCCATCATTACGTGATGATCAAACTCTCATGTCGCCCTGGCGCACCTGGCTTCGATTTAGCAAGAACCAACACACACACAACCAGCCAGGCGCAACCTCACTCCGTCGTGCCAATTTATCTGACCCCTGCCGCACCGGCTGCCATGTTGCAAGAAAAAAAACACACAAGTAAAAACGAGAGAAAAACATGCAGAAAGGTCACTGCAAAGAAATATCAAGCAAGCATGCACCCCGCACCCTTGCTAACGTCGTGACAAACTCCCTTATGACTGCCCGGCGCACCCGCTGCGATGTTGCGGGAAAAAAAAAAACGAAACGAGATTGCGCATAGGAAGCTGACTGCAAGGAAAAAAAAACAACCACGTATACCCGCCGCCTTCACTACGTCTCGACAAACACTCTCGTGTCTGCCTGGCGCACCCGCTTAGCGGCATGCGCTGCGATCATCGCCATTTTTGCTTTCTGCAGATGGAACGCCGCGTCTCCATTGCCACTCTCATCTGCTGCCGATTCCAGGACGCCGAAGTGAGGTGACAGCTCACTATAAGCCGGTGGAGCACGGCGCTCGCGCCCCGTGTTCTCACCGCCACCGCCATCTTCCGTTTCATCTTCCTCATCGCAGCCGGAAGAAATTTCTTCTTCGTCNTACCACCTCAGCATCGTCCTCGATGGTAGCCCATCCCTGAATTGCGCTCTCCGCTTGCCCCCCGAGTGNTGAGGTGACAGCTCACTATAAGCCGGTGGAGCACGGCGCTCGCGCCCCGAGTTCTCACCGCCATCGCCATCTTCCGTTTCATCTTCCTCATCGCAGCCGGAAGAAATGCGCGCTCCAGCTAGCAATGCCGCCATGTCGTCCGCCGCGTCCAGCCGAAGAGCCTCTACCACCTCAGCATCGTCCTCGATGGTAGCCCATCCCTGAATTGCGCTCTCCGCTTGCCCCCCGAGCGGCTGTCCAGGCTCGATGTTGAGTTCTGCCAGCAGTTCGGCGATCTCGTCATCTACGACGGCGGATCCCTGCTTCTGCGCGTCGCTCACGCTCGTGCTCAACGTGTTGACAGTCTCCGTGAGAGCCTTCAGGTCAGGCTCGGCGATGTCGAACCGGGTCTTTCCGTGTTGCTTGGTGAGCTCCGCCGCCATGTCCTCTGGAAGCGTCTCGGCTTTGACGAAGCACCTGGTGCGAGGTAGCGCAGAAAATGCGATTCATCGGTTTTTGGGTGAACAAGCGATGTTAGACGAACAATTGACCCATCGGGATGTGAGAGACAACCCTTTTGGTAGTGAAGATACACTGGAGATGTCCAGATGCTGGAATACTCGGCCAAAAAAAGAAAACCGAACAACTGTACACACCCAAGTATCGCACCACAGAAGCCAGGTGCACGCGCGCTAGCTGAACATTCAAAATCGCGATGGCAATGTTCACACCTCACCTGGCAATATCCTGGGGGGTGACGCTGGCCCATGCTTTCTGGAGAAGTTCAGCCGCGTCCCGCACATGAGGTTGGTGCCCTTGCGCCAGCCCCATTGTCCCGTCCTTCATCTTGCGGGCTTTGGCCTGAGCGCGAAGTGTGTCAGCCACCAACATTGTTGATGCCTTCACATCGAGCAGCTCCTTCCTGTAGACGACCTTCGCCTTAGGGTTCCCCCAGATCCATGGGCATGGTGCGCCTCTGCGCTGCGTACAGCTCTTCGGGTCTGCAGCAGCACGCGCGCCGCGTTTGTGTTGCGTCTATCCGCTGTTCGTGAGTGTGTGTCTTGTTTTTCTCTTGATCGCGTGTGTGTGTGTG